TCGTTGCCCCGGCGTTGCCACGTGGCGAGCGCGAGCGGGCGCGCGCGGGCGGGCGGGCGGGCGGGCAGCGGCGGCGGCGTCGTCGTCGTCATCGTCGGCGCCGTCCTCGTCGTCATCATCGTCATTGCCATTGTCACTGTCATTGTCGTCGTCGTCTTCGTTGCCCTTCGTCGTCGTCTATCGTCGTCGTCGCTCGTGTCGTCGTCGTCGTCGTCGTGGTCGTCGTTGTCGTCGTCGTCTTCGTCCGCGTTGGAGCCACGTGCCAATTGGATGCTGGATGATGTTGGCGTTCGCCCCCGCGGCGTTGCCACGTCGAATGCGATAGAGTAGTTATGTTGCTTTGTGCGGTTTAGCAACGTTGCGCGCAAAGTTGTATTGTATGTTGTTCACCGGCCTGCCTTTGCCACGTGGCGAATATAATGGAATCTGTGTTTTCGCCCCCCAGACGTTGCCACGTGGCGAGTAGAATGGGATTGTATATGTTCGGCCCGCGCGGCATTTCCGCGTGATGAGTTGAGTGGATGTATACTTGATGTTCGCTCCCCATGGCGTTGCCACGTGGCGAGTGGCGTGGGATGGTATTCACGTATGCCACGTGGCAAGGAGAGTGGACCAGTAGTTGTCTACACTTGACGTTACATCGTTGCGAGTAGACCTAAAAAACGTGTTCCGCCTCGCAGGCGTTGCCGCGAGGCGAGTCGTGGAGTGGAGTAGTTTGTGTGTTCGCTCCCCACTCGCCTCCACCTTGCAAGTCGCGTGGAATACTATTTTTGTCCGTCCCGCAGGCGTTGCCACGTCGCGATGAGAGCGGAGTAGCACAATTGTTCGCCCCCCCAGGCGCTTGCCACGTGGCGAGTACACTGGAATAGTTACAAGTTCCGCCCCGAAGGCGTTGCCGCGTGCCGAGTAGAAGGACGAGGGAGGAGGAGGGAGGAGCGAGGAGGGAGGGGGGGGAAGTAGGGAGGAGGCAGGAGGGAGGAGGCAGGAGGGAGCAGGAGTAGCAGGAGAGAGGAGGGAGGGAACAGGCAGGAGGGAGGAGCGAGGAGAAGGGAGCAGAGGCAAGAGGCAGGAGGAGGAGAAAGGAGAGGAGGAGGGGAGGAGGGAGGAGAGGAGGACAGGAGGCGTGGGAGGACGAGGAGGAGGTGAAGGAGGAAGACGGAGGAGGGGGAGGTGAGAGTATCGGAAGGAGGACGAGGAGGACGGGGAGGAGCGAGGAGGAGAGGTGGAGGATGAACGGGGGGAAGGAGGGGGGCGGAAGGACGAACGAGGAGGGGCGAGGCGGGGCTGGTCTGGACTGGAGTGTTGGGTTTGACCCCTCTCGGATGTTCGGGTTTGGGTTCGGTCGGAGTGTGCGTAGCCATTTTGGCTCAAGCCGAGAACCAGTCCCCGCGCCCGCGCGAGCGCGCGCGCCCGCGGCGGGGGCAATGCCCGCCTCCGCGCCCGCACCGCGCGGCGCCCGCGAAGCGGCTGCGCGCGCCGCACTGGCGGCGATGGCGGCAGCCGCGGTGGCGGCGGCGGCGTGGAGGCTGCTGGAGGCGCACCGCCGCGCCCGGCGGCGAACGAGGCGCCTGGCCATCCGCACAGGCTCGCCCTACGCGGCCGAGGCATTGCGCGAGGCCGCTGCCGCAGTGGGGCTCGAGGTGCACGCCTCGGCGCCGTGCGTATGGGGCGACTTCTCCCTGCTCGACTGGGACGGGCTGCTGCAGGATACCGGCGACGCTCCGAGCGGCTGTCGCTTCTCGTGTCTATACCTGCGCGCAAGCCTGGTGCGGAAGGCGATGCTGGCGCACTACCTGTCGAAGCGTGGCGCCGGCGCGTCGTCGGTGCTGCCCGAGGGCTTTGTGGTGGACCTGGAGGACGAGAGCGACGTCGAGGACCTGCGGCGGAAGCTGGAGCGGTGGCCCCTGCCTCCAGCGGCGCCGGGGGCCGCCGGCCACCCGCTCTGGGTGGCGAAGGCGAGCACCGCCAACCGAGGCGAGCTGCTGTTCCTGGGGCGCGCCGCTGGCGAGCTCGTGGACCTCATCCGGCCGGCAGCGCTCGACGGAGGCGTAGCGGAGTGGGTGCTCCAGCGCTATGTGGCCCCGCCGCTGCTCCTCCGAGGCCGCAAGTTCCACGTCCGGGCCCACGCGCTGGTCAGCGGGTGCCCGCGCTGCGGCTTCTCGCGCGCCTGGCTGCACCGCGAGCACCACGTAATCCTCCTCGCCGGCGCGGAGTACGAGGCGGCGTCCGCAGACAGGCTTGCGCACCTGACGAACCACTGCGTGCAGGTGGAGCATCCAGGGTACTGCGAGGAGCAACAGATCCTGCGGCTCGGCGAGCTCGACTGCGCCGCTGGCCGGCCAGGGCTGGCTGCGTGGGTTCTGGAGGAGATGGGCCGCGAGCTGGCCGAGGCACTGGGCGCGGCCGCGCGCTCGCCCGCGGGCTTCGCGCCGCTGCCGCAGTGCTTCGAGCTCTTTGGCGCGGACTTCACGCTGGAGGACCGCGGCGCCGACCGGCTGCCAGGCGTCTGGCTCCTCGAGGTCAACGCTGGCCCCGACCTGAACGTCTTCGGCAGCAGGCTGCGACCGCAGTGCGTCGAACTGCTGGCCGACGTGCTCCGCTGCGCAGTCGAGCCGCAGCTGGAAGCGAGGTCGGCCGCCCAGAGGTTCGTGGGAGCGCGCAGGTGCGGTTGCCAACGCGCCGCCCAGGCCACCGGTTTCGGGGCCTGCATTTGGTCCTCGGCGCCGAAGGCGGCGTCGGCCGCAGAGGAGCTCGCGGGGCTGCGCAGGCGGCTCGGCGTGGCCGGCCGCTGGGCCAAAGCGCTGCACGAGGCGAGCGGCATCGTGGTGAGGGGCGCCCAGGGCGAGGTGGCCCGCGCGGCGGGGGCTCAGACCGCGCTGCTCGAAAAAAAAAGGGTTCGGTCGGAGTTTCGGATTCCGTTCATGGGGAGATGCTCGGATTTCGCTGTGTTTCGATGTTGGGGTTGCGCCCTTGATGTTCGGGCTTCGCCTCGGACAATGTTCGTGTTCGCCTTGCTACCCTGTGGGGGGAGGTGCGAGTTGCGCTATTCTCGCCGCGTTTGGGCTTCTGGGAGGCACAGCAGAGTGGGTAGTCACGCGGAGCTGGAGGAGTTGCGAGGTTTCGTGGTTCTTTGGAGGGTTGCGAGTTGTCGAATCTGAAGAGGCGACGACCAGCCGAATCTGAAAGGGCGTGCGGCGTTGTTGCATCACAGAACGCAGCGCGTCGGAGCGTCACGTAGCACATAGCGTTGTCTTCAGTGCCCCATTCCCCCCTCTCTTCAGGCTCTTGTCGCCCGCAGCATCAGGGGTGAACCGAACAGATGCAGCGCATGACGCTGTTACTCTCACCCCCAGTTCTTCCCATTCCTTCCAATCCTCTGCGTCCTCCTCCCCCCTCGTCCTCCTCCCCTTCCACGTCGCGCCTCCGTCCTAGGTTTCTTGTCGTGCTTGTCGCCGTCGTCCCTTTTGGCGACCTGAGTTGCGCAGGTGCGCGACGCGCGAAGTCCAGCATTGTTTGACGAAGCGTGCCATGCTTACGGCGTGTTCATATACATAGTCGCCTCGCGTGGAGAAGGGGTTGGGTACATCCCAAGTAAGAATACATGCATGCATGTGTGCATCCGCACATGCATATAGACATACAGACGTATATACCTACATACATACATACATACATACATACATACATACATACATACATACATACATACATATGCATGCATACACACATACATGCATACATGCATACATGCATACATGCATACATGCATGTATACATACATACATACATACATACATACATACATACATGCATTCATGCATACATACATACATACCTATCTACCTACATACCTACCTACCTACCTACCTACATACATACATGCATGCATACATACATACATACATACGTACATGTATACATCTATACATGCATACATGCACATACATACATGCATACACATACATACATGCATACATGCATACATACATGCATGCATGCATGCATACATACATACACAGACATACATACACACATGCAGACATACATGCATACAAACATGCATACATACATGCATGCATGCATGCATGCATGCACAGACATATGTGAACCCGTATCGTTGTGTATATCGGAGGTTGGGGGGTGAGATCGAAGTGGAACGGAGAGCCCCCCTACCGGGAAATCGATTTCGGTTTCGTGTTCGTGCGTGCCGTGCGTGCGGGCGAGGCTAAGCTGCGTGGGCGGGCGAGGAAAGTATCCTGTGGTTGAGGCGCTGCCAGACCAAATGCTTGGCGACCCGGCGTTCGGGGCCGCGCGGTGTCCCGCCGTTGTCCCGCCGCTGTCCCGTCGGTGTCCCGTCGGTGTCCTGCGGTGTCCCGTCGGTGTCCCGTCGTGAGATCGATAGTGAGATCAATCGTGAGATCGATAGTGAGATCGATAGTGAGATCGATAGTGAGATCGATTGTGAGATCGATAGTGAGATCGATAGTGATACTGATTGTGAGATCGATAGTGAGATCGATAGTGAGATCGACAGTGATATCGATTGTGAGATTGATCGAGTGAGATCGATCGAGTGAGATCGATAGTGAGATCGATCGAGTGCGACGTTGGCCCCCAAGAGCGACAACGCAACAATCTCCACTGGCATCGTCAGAACAACAATCACCACTGTTGCCCACTGCTGGGCCCCTCCCCCCCCAACCTCCTTATCACCCTCAGGGTGGTCGTATAGGTATGTATACATTTATGTGCAGGTGCGCGTTCTCATATACAATGTTTGTACAGACAGGGAGAGGGAGAGAGAGAGAGAGAGAGCGAACGCAAGCCGGTGTTCTGCATGATTTCTTATGGAATCGCGGGGTCTGAACATGATAATGATGATGTTGCATGTGTTTTCAGAGCTTTCCGACCTCGCACGCCTCCAGCTCACACCAGGAACGGCTCGGCGTGCACCAAATTTCGTGCCCGCCAGTGGTGCTCCCCACACGTCAGATCCCGAGGACGTCGGCGCAGACTCGCTGGAAGACACCTGGAGACGCATCGATGCGGACGGCAGCGGCTCGATCTCAAAGCTGGAGCTCATTGCCTTCCTCGCTGGCGTCAACGAGGACGGGATTGCTGCAAAATCCGTTCGGGCCGAGCGCTACCCTCCACCGCTCCGCCTCGCCCTCCCCCTTCTGGGGACGCGCGCGGCGGGGAGGACATGGGAAGGAGGCGGAGCAGGAGGATATGATTCTTTCTACAAGTATCTCGTAGATACAGCCAGCGGCAGTTGCCATCTGGCGGTCTCGTTTGTGATCAACCTCCCAGGGCCAACCAGCCTTGGGGGGGGCGGCAGTCGGTGACATCTCTCGCCACCAGGTTCCAGGTTCCAGGAGGAGGTGGAGGAGAGGGGGGAGGAGGGAAGGAGCAGGACGGGTCGTTTCACCGCGTGGGGCGTTCCCCTCCTCTCCTCCCCCACCCCTTTCCCTCCCCCTTTTGGGCGCAAGTGTACGTTACATGCCTCTCTTCCCTCCCTCCCCCGCCGCCCGCCTCATGGGGAGATAGGAGGAGGCGGAGGAGAGGAAGGAGGAGGAGGAGGAAGGAGGAGGAGGAAGACGTGTCAATTCTATCGCCGATCAGACCGTCGGGCATGACACGCATCAGTTCTACAGAGCTTCCCCCTCGGTCTGCCTGGGAAGTCCGCTGCGCCGCAGACACCCAGTCTGGAGGAGCGCGCTCGCTGGAAACAGGGGGGGCGAGAGAGGACGAGGAGAAGAGCTGGGCACCGCCTGGCGGCTGGCCTGTTCTTGCCTCCTTCAGATGGGGCGGGACGGGTGGGCCTAGCTCAGGGGGGACATCGGCTCCCAGTCGCCGGTCGTCGGAGAAGGGCTCGTCCCTGGTGCTTTTGGCCCTCGTTGGGCCTCCTGGAGGCTTCTCGTCGCCACCGCTGGATCCAGTTCGAAAAACCGGGTCGGGATGGACACGTCTGGGGGCCGATTTTGAAAGGCCTCGGGCCCGGGCGGGAGAGCCGCAGTGATCACTGGCCCCGACCCTCCAAGGTCGGGGCACGGGCGGCCCGCCCACTGAGCTGCTACTCCTCTCCGCTGCTCCGGAGCCCTGCAAGGTCGGCTGCTGGACAAAATCCTGCACCTTCTATGCTTCGGTGTTTGTTTTCGCCCCCCCGCGCCCCCCATGTAATGATTGGCAGGCCGTGGCGCAATTCGTCGATCTGCCGAGTGGCCCACGCCCTGCGCCCCGCGGGCGCGGCCACTCAACGTTGAGTCGGGGACAGGGGGGCGCGCAGTTGGCGCCGTCGCTCCGGCTGCGCGGCTGGTGCAGGGTTTTGCCCATCAAGCGAGTTCCACGCATCGGTCCACCATCGCAGCCACGCGTT